AGAGAAGCGCTAAGCTGTAAGGTGTTGTGTAGAGCTCTGCTTGGGAGTGCGGAGGGTCTGACAAACTAGAAGTATCATAGAGTGATTATGTGCGGCGGGTAAGAAACAAGCGAGCTGCTCTATAATGATTTTTCAATTCCTTAACAGCTGACAGGCTAATGACTGACAAATACAATTCAAGAGTCTGAAGTCCATAATCTACATTTAAACTATATATAGATAATATTGATATATATAAATATATAGATATATATAATTATATTGAGATCAACAGTTTAAGAAAGCAAATATAACACAGGTGAAATCACAGGGCAGCTAATAGAATGTGAACGACCCCAATTCCACTTCGAACAGATTGCAGCCCTTAAGATATATATAAATTCCAGGTCGCATGTAATTGAGTCAAGAGGAAAAGTAAAGTGGGAAGATGATTCCCAGCACAATGACCCCAAATGGAGTACAGCCCCTTGCCCATTATTTGACCCACATATCGCACCTCAGACATACTTAAGCCAGCTCTTAGTAGCCCCCACTTGCTGCGGCCAGCGAGTGCTCAACAAGTCGTGCAACAAAGGGCAACAGCTACAGCTACTGTGATTGCGCCACACATTCCTGGGGCAACTCGGCTTTGCATCATCTGCAGCTCACTCACTCTCGCCTGGCCCTCCTCTATTTATTATTAGCTGCTGCTTTGCTCGTCGAGCCGTGGCCAATCTGCAAAATCAAATGCCAAAAATAATGCAATAAAAATTTCTTGCGAAATATTTCGTACCACTTGTGCAGAAGACAACGCAATTTTTATTGCCGGCCAACCCCTCGACAAGGACTTTTTGCCGTTTCCTTTGCATTGCCTTTTTTTTTCTTTGTTTCACTTCAACTTTTTTATCCTTAAAGTAAGCATTTCCGCCGTATTCTTTATTCGGTATTCAAAAGGCAATTGGCTCGTCGAGCTGCCGCCTTTCCGGCTGCTTAATTTAATGGCCGTGCTGATTTCTTAGCCACTGCTTTAACTTCTGTTCGCTGCTGGGCTTTCCGACCTGGGTCAAGCCGTTAATAAGCCAACGACCGAGTCCGCCTGCAACGGCTTTAATTGATTTTCAGCCGCTATTAAAAAAAAAAAAAAAAAAAAAAAAAAAAAAAAAAAAAAAAAATAAAAAGCAAATGAAAACAGAAATCAACAATAAATTCGAGTAGCCCTTGGTCGCTAACCCTTCGCTCAACCCCTTTTGTGAGCGCGGTCTTCCATTCGACACCCTTGTACACAGTTTTTATGTATTTAACCATTGTTGTTGTTGTTGTTGTTACTGCTGTTGCTGCTGTTGTCGTAGCTGAAACTGACCTTTACCGCCGACCCGTTGCCCATTCATTTGTTCGTGCGGTCAGTCGGACGGCGGTTGTCGCCCTCGTCGCAGTCACTCGCAGTCATCCGTCTCGTTCCCATTCCCATTCTCATTTCTATTCTCGTTCTCGTTCTCATTCTCAATTTGCAGTCGTCATGGACATTGAGTGACCTTTGCTTGTCAACCGTAAGCCCTCACTTTTTACCTTCCCCTCCCTCTCGCTTTTTTTTCTCTCTCTCTCTCTCTCACTCTCTCGTTTTACTTTAATCCCATTTCGTGCTGTGGGTCGATTCCTGATTAAGTTGTAATTTGTAGCGCTAATTATTTCATAACTTCTTTAAGGGTGTCAAGTGTTAAAGGGCACAGGCAAGTTCCTTAAACGCTTCGACTGAGCTGACTTGATGGAATTATTAAATGCCATTTGAGGCAGATATACGTGTCCTACTCTATTCTTTCGATGGTTTAACAGAGTCGATAAACTATATATACATATATACTTCAATTTACCAAGAGTATTTCTGACTTGAGCTACAGCTCCTAGGCCTTCAAGCCTCGACTCTTGTAAAGTAACCTTGACAAAGTAAAAATCAAATGTTTTACCTAATTAGTCTTTTACTCAACTTGGCATACTTCTAGCCCAACACATTCCGGAATAATTCTATCTACGAGGCTCGCCCAATTTCCAATCTTACAAGGTCAATTTTTTGTTTGTAGCATTGCGAATAAAGTGTAGCGCTAAGCGTGGCCCCAACCATCCATGGAAAAAGGCCACATTAAAGTGCCCCAGGTGGGTCAGTGCAGGGGTTAAGGGGGCTAACTGGTGACGCTCTGCTCCAGTCGCATGTCTGACATGCAGCCACAATTTGCACGAAACGTGCAGCGGACGTCTGCAAAGCGATTACAGCGTATAATGCTGCCTGATCTAAATGCTGCGACCTCCACAGAGAGTGTAGGAAAGGAAGAGACACACAGAGAGAGAAAGAGAGAGAGAGAGACAGAGAGAGAGAGAGAGAGAGAGAGAGGTCTGGCAACACATGCCAAGACAACTGGCCAGATCATTGGGTTCAGGGTGCGAGTACCCGCTGGATGTGTGCCATATGTCCGCTTGCATTTGTGTCCGCATCTCAATCTCATTCTCTGTGTGTATCTGTATCGGAATCCGCAGTCTCATCCACATTGCAATTGCACTTGATTATGCCTATGAACAGGCCCGCAAATTTTTAATAACTCGTGAAAACACACGGAACGTGACAAACGTGGAATTTAGTGCATGCGGCCAGGCACGGAATATGCGTGAAGCTAGCAAAAAAGAAGAGATGAGCCCCAACAAAAGATCTTAATGTTGAAGCTAAGAGCGGAAGAATTTGGATAATTCCTCATAGGCGCATATTTTTGTCAATCTCAGAAATATTTGCTTTTTCTTTAGACTACACGTGAATGAAATTTTCTACACTAATCAATATGACATGATGAATTAATTCTATTCTAAAGTAAATTGTTAAATTTGGATTACTCTTGTTGGCCTTCCCTGCTCTGTAACTTACAGATTTTTAAAATACATTGACCGTTTGGGAAAAAGAATCCTGAAAATCCCTCAAGCAAAAATTATATGCACAATTAATCATGAGACCTAATAATCGATTAATTTGCTTCCATTGCCACTGTTATTAGTGACGAGACTGATCTTTTGGAGTTATTGTTTCTGAACTTTAGAAATCATAATCATAATCATATACATACAATATACATAAATATGTTAATATTATATGCATGTATATGTTGTGAGTACTTATAAAAAAATCAATTGATTAAAATTTAATCTATTATTTTTCGTTGATTTAATGAAATTAAAAATCTCGTAGCTTAATTTTATTATATTTATAATTCAATAACCCGTATTCGTATTTCTTACGTCTACTGGGGGCTTGAGAGTATAGAAAGCAGAATTCATCTCCTCTGTTGATTTAAAAGTGATATATATTTAGATACACCGATTATGGGGCGTGGCAAGTCGCAAAACGTTATATATCCTGCAATGTTTTGGAGTGTATGTTTGGTCGTTTTTACTTGATTTTTCTTAATTTACTCCCAGTTAAAGCTCCTTTCAATTCTTTTCTCAAACTCAACTAAGATTCTTACAGAATGTTTTGCATGTTGCGACTTGCTCATTTACATCTGACTGCTGCACGTTTCAGCAACATGCAGGACTACACCCTCCCAACGTAAGCGCACCCACACTCTGCCCACACACACCCACAACAACAACAACAACAAGATAAATGACAGCAATTGACTTCATTAGCAGTAAATGTCAAATGCTCAACGCGATGCCGTTGCCGTTGTCGTTGTCGTTGCCTATGTGAGCCTCGTGTTATGTGTGTTTGGAACAACAAATAAAACACGACCCGAAAAGCCCCCGCAGCACGCCCCTGGGCAGCTGAGCAACCCCTCGCAAAAAATAAGATGGGAGGAAGGAAAGAAATCCGTATTGCGCAATTTCTTCTTGTGGAAAAATTTGCATACGCATTTTGCTTGCATCGTTTGGCAGGCAGTGGAGGGGGAGTGGTTGGGGGGTTCAGGGGTGGCTGGGATGGGTGAACTGGATGCTGGCAAAGTGGTCGCAGTGACTCCATTACGAGCACGGCGCCGATACACACTTACGCACACAATGAAACCATCAAAATCCAATGAAATAAAATAAAACTCCAATAAAAACATTTTGGCAAAAGGCAAGGACCAAGGGATAAAGGGGGGGACATTTACTTCCTCCTTGTTGACATGCGGTGAAAGTGTGCGAAAATGTTTGCAACTGTGTGTGTGTGTGTGTGCAGCCAACCAAAAGCTGTGCACACACCCAGCACCCTCATCGACTGGGAAACTGTCCCTTTTCTTTTTTTTTTTTGGCAGACGTGTGCCTCGGATTTGCGAATTTTTTCGCAATGTCGTGGAAAAGCCAGTGGAAAAACAGTTTTCCTTGGTTTTGGTGTTTGCGTTTGAACCTTGTTAGTGGTTTCTGCCAGGCGAATTGCTAAACTGTCAAATGCGTGAAATGTCAACATGTCAAGGCAACAAAGGAAGCCACTGAAGTGCGGTGCCAAGGTGAGGGGGGGAGTAAAGACTTCTGATTGGGCAGTAAGGCGATTGATACTGTTGAAGGGAGAAGAGCATGAATGAATTTTAGAGAGTGTTTAAATATTTAACTCGAAGAGTCTATCAAATAAACAAGGCACTTCGTTTACCATTGATAAAATATAGAAAATAGTATTTAATTTAATTTAAAATTAAAATAAAGAAATATTAATTAAATACCATTTGCCTAATATAAATAAAGAGCTTTTAAACTGTCCCATTCAGGTTAACGAACTAAAATTGAAAGTAAACGCTGTCAGCACCAAGGAAACCTGAGGAATCGCAAACAATTCAATCAGAGTACATATATAATTATAATTAGCTGCCAGCTGGCTGGCAATAGCTAAGTGAATTAATCCATTTGCTACGCCTGCTGGCCGCAATTACCTGACAATTATCTAGACCTGAAGATCGCGTCAAGTGCTGGTTGACAGCATCCGCGTTTGCTCAATGGAAATCAAAGCCATTCCGTTCTAGTTTGGCGTTCCCTAAGCCGCAAAACCCGTTTGTGCGGCACCTACGCATTTGCGAGCCGGGCTATAAAAGCGTTCGGTTAATTGGCCAAAAGCATCAGTCGTTGACAAAGCAACCAACCAAACAATCAACATGCAAGTAAGTTCTGACTCGACAATTGCTCCCGATTCGTTGGCTTAACTTTTCATTCTTGTTACTCTGGTGCAGTTCCTCATCTGCTTGGCTCTCTGCGTGGCTGTGGCTCAGGCCGGCTACCTGGCCTCACCTGTCGCCACTTACGCTGCTGCTCCAGTTGCCACCTATGCTGCAGCTGCCCCCGTTACGACCTACGCGGCGGCGGCTCCTCTGACCACCTATGCCCGCACCTACTCCGCTGCTGCTCCCTTGGCTACCTACACCCGTGCTGTTGCTCCTGTGACCACCTACTCCGCCGCTGTGCCCGCTGCCTACTCCGCCTACTCCGCCTACTCTGCCCCCGTCTACGGCGCTCCGGTCTACACTGCGCCAGTGGCCACCTATGCTGCTCCAGCCGTGGTCAGCACCCTGCTGAAGAAGAAATAAATGCTAGACTTTCCCTTTCCCCCGTCAACTGATCCGATTTTGAATATATCCAACAACAATAATAAACTTTCAGTAAAATAACCGAAAGTGACTTTTATTAATTTACAATTTTTGAACTTCCATTTTGTAGTTCAAGTTGGATCCTCTATATTTGTTCGTTGTAATTTGTCTGAATAATTTATTTAGTTTATGTACTTTTAATTTCACGAGCTGCGAATTCAGATACAGTGTTAACTCTAGTTACAAACAGTATCATTTGAGAGTCACTTGATATATCATATTATTATATTGATCATTTTGTAACAAACAAGCTACAGTAGAAACAATGAACAAAAGCCGTACAAGAATAATTTGATTATTTCAGTGAATCTATATTCCGTTTAACCTTATATACAAATCAGATTTACCTTTAGCTCAATTGAATATATTTTCGTGTGCTTATTATACAAGTCTAGTGATTTAATCTTTACATACAGCCGAATTTAGAGAGCTTTCTGTAAAATCCATAGCTCTTGAACAACTGAACGAGAATTCTATTGTAGCAAATAAAAAAAAAAAGTAAACCTATTATTGGGTTATATAGCAAATATTCTTTTCTTCAGGAAATTATTTATCTACATACCAGATTGTCCACATTCTAAAGTCTCCACTGTACGGTACGTTCTGGGTTGGTGTTCCACGGCGCGTGGGCGTCACATGGCCAATCACACGGATTAATTGCCTGGCGATAAGAAATGTTTTGGAAACTAACAGCAACAGCAGCAGCAGCAGCAGCAGCAGCAGCAGCAGCAGCATTCACAGTCACAGCTTCCAGGCTCCAGCTCCCAGGTGCCAGTTGCCAGTTGCTAGTTGCCAGCTCTGGAGTGTGGCCTCCTCTTTTGGGGAGCTGGCGAACGCGCGTGCTCAAATAAATCATTTGGCAGACACGGCGCAGGCAGCCGGAGGGAGAGAGAGACTCCTCGGTTGGCCTGCGCCCAATCCATGGCGATCGCATTTCAAGTGCAAAAGTGCCGCAAGTGGCAAACCAGCAAACCAAGAGGTGACTGCCACAACAATTGTGGGTGTAACGAATTCGCCGTCAAATCGCCAACAAATCGCAAACGAAAAGCGAACGCACAGAGCCAGAACCAGAATCTCAGCTCGAGCTCGAACCAAATTCAAACAAATCCCAGCTTAGCAATCGTATGAGCTTCTCGCACAGCCAAAGTGAAAGCCAAAAGCCACTCAAAGCGGGGAGAGGCGGGGTGTAGAGTAGTCAGGTATTACAATTTAGACACCGGAAAACAATGAAATTGACAGCGCCTGAGCTTTGGGCGATCATCTGCGCAGCCATTTAGTGGATATTTGTTGAGAATTCTTTGCGGCACTGTCTTATTATCAATCTTGAAGTGGGCAGTGTTCGAGCAAAAGGGTTGCCAAGGTGCCCAAATATGAGAATTATTGAACGTAGGCCAGTTGAATTTGGATGGAAGCTAGAAAATAGATGGCAAAGACATATGTAATTAAGCGAGGTGATTGATTGCCAAAAGAGTTGCCAGACCAATTGAAGCATGTTAATAGTTTGAGGAAATAGGTCTGAACAGAAGCAATGCCATAGGGAAATGGCTAAAAGTGTTGTCAGAGAAGCTAAAAGGCTAAATAGATTCGAAAGGAATGTGACTAAGGTACGACAGGGCTGCCAGATGCATTAAGAAATGTGATATTTAAATCAGATGTATCGTGTGAGGGGGGTTAGAGTTCAAATCATAAGGGAGAAATATTATTTTTATAAGTTGAAACGGAATACTGTTAAGAAATACGTTTATATCATTTTAGTAGGTAAAGATATGAAGTTGGATTCAGGAAAATTTTGAATTAATGTAGGAAGAATTCTTCCGATTGCTTAATTAAATCATTTTTATCTTGTATACATCATACTATGTCCCAACTAGAGAGTTTTTATTTTAATATCTCTCAAATAGATATTTCTTCAATTAGCCTGGCAACCCTACTCGGCTCAGTCAACATATTCAGGAAGCATAGCTAACCGAGAGTGGCTGTGCACAGAAATCACTTGCAAAGTGTTGCCCGAAAATGCCGCACGAACACCGTTCAATTGCATTTAAGAAGCCAAATGACCTCCGGCGCCCCCTCACACAGTGTAGATGGCGAGAGGGGTGGGACGGCGGACGGGGGCGAAGCACTTATTCACAACTCAATGCCTGTTTAGCACAGACAAGAGCTCGGAACGTATGGACCCGTCTAACAAGCCTTTCCGCAACTGCTGCCAACGATATGTACCGGCTGTTCCTATCCCTGCCTCCCTATCTTCCTTCCTCTCTCTGCTTCTCTAGCTTTTCGCAACGCATACAAATATTATATTTAAGCCTAGCCGAGTCTCATTTCGTGCCAGGCATCGATTCCCGCACTTCGATACAATCGCAGCGAACGGCAACTGCGCACGCGCAGCGTCTGCACTTGAGCAGCTCTGAATGTGGATGTGGATATGAAATTACTTGGTACTTGGCTTAAATTACAGCCTTTTGGTTGCTCATAGCTGCATCGCTGCGTAGTTATGACCATGTTTGTCCATTGTCTACTCTTCCCCCACTTTTTCGGTATCTATTTCCCTATTTTCCTTGTAAGTGTTTTGGCAAATTCGTTAAATTGCTCTTGAGATGCATTGATAAGTGCCATGTGATCTATTGCTGACGGTTAAATCGAAATAATAATATGAAGTATATACATAGATGTTGCCATTGGAGTGGAACTTTGATTTCTGATTTTTTAAAATTATGTAATTAATACAGGGGATTAATTATTTACAAATATATTAAAATTTGGTAAAAATGCTTTACCGCAAACATGGATTTATTTAATGATATTTCGTGGATCTTAGAGCATTCTTAAATGGAAAAATAAAATTATTTTCATTCCGTTCACTAAAAAAATAACACGAAACATAAATATTTTCTTTTCTCTAGTAGCATAAAAGACAACCAAATAGTACTCTCTAGCCGGACCAGTGGAAAAACATTGCTCCCCCTAAAAACCCCATAGAGAACACATAAACTCAGCTGTCTTTCTCTTTGCAATATTTACACGCAATAAAAAATTAACATTAGGCGAGTCTGTAAATGGAAAGAAAAGTGCGTGGATGAAGATGAATAGCCAGTAGGCACAGTGGTACGAGCAGATAGTAAAGCAGTCAAAAATGTACATGTTTATATTACCCCAGCTGGAGGTTGAGGTAAATAAGAGAATTGAAAAATCCTTCACCTTCGTTAATACAAATGACGCCCCGAGAGACCAGGCAGGATCAGGGTAGAGACCAGAGAGTCTAAACAACAGTCTGCACACGCACACAACAACAATGGATAAGAAACGTACCGGATATGTTCCAGCGGAAGCTGAGAAAGTAGCTAGGCAAAAGGTGGAAGAAGAAGCCGGCGAAGAAAAAAATCATTTACATGAGCCTGGAGGGGGGTGGGACGGGGCCAGTGCGTGGAGGGATGATTATTAAATGGGTGGCATGTTTAACTATAAAACGCACGCGACCAGGATGAGACGAGCGACCGGGACAAGGGTGGGTGCCAATGAAGGACAGCACAGGATTTGCATGAAACCCCACGTTGACTCTGTGGCAGGGGCTGCCAGACAGGGGGCCAAACTTGTAGGACTGAATGGACCCCGAGCTGGGCTGGGCACGTGGATGCTTTGGACAGGCTATTGGTGTGACAAGAAGCTGCTGGATGTTAAGAGGGGGAGGAGGGGGAGAGGAGGCGAGGCACTTCCTACGTAAGTGCGGCACTTGAAACCGCCTTAAAGCGTGCACTGTGAACGGCCAGAAGAAGGGCAGCCAGGCAGTCGGCCAGGCGGCAGCAGCAGGCACTGAATTATGCAAAAGATTTACGCGCTCGAAAAATTTTTTCCTGTTTTTTTCCTTTTTTGGTTTGCTTCTCTGGGGGCGTTCGCCTTCATCTTGGCCGTCACATTGTATAAACTTTCGAGCCGGACGCCAAACACATCTGACAGTCATACACTGAAGTTATACCCGGAAAGTGTGAGAGAGTGAGAGAGAGAGAGAGATTGATATTTTTCGCCCACTGTGCGACAGTTGGCGCCGACTGAGGCTGAACGGAGTTGTCAGAAACAAAACAAGCAAAATTTGTTGCAGAAGCCAACAAAGCTCACAGGATTACACAGAAAAGTGCTCAGCAGGCCCATCGGCCAAGTGGAAGCACATTTGCGAGAATTTATTCAAATAAAAAAGAAAAAGAAGCAGTTAATCATTTTTGCAGAGAGACATGACGCGATTCAGACATGAATGGAGACCGAACCCCTTCTCAGCCCAAAAGATTATATATTTTTAATCAAAATAATAATTTAAGCGTCAGTTGTGCGGATTAATCGTGAATTGAATGACGCGACTTGTCATAATCGGTTCAGTTGTGATAGAGATGGAACGTATTGATATATTAAATTTGGTTTATTACCCAACAAAAACTGGCAATACAGTTAATAATTCTAATAGACTACATTAACAAGTGAAGTAAAAATTGTAGTTAACCGATTCAGTTTGGACATGTTTATAGAAAGAGCAGCTAGACTGCTCCCGACCAAGGAACTCATGGCTGTTTGGGCCATTTCCAGCTTACTTCACGAAGTGCTGTAATTTACTAAAACAAATTGCTGTCTGCTTTTCCCAGTGGAGCTCTTTAGCTAAACGTTTTCCCATATCAATAATCGCAACGTTTGCGGAATCATCTGAGGACGAAGCCCCCTAATCACTCAATCGAAAGGCAATATGGCGCCTAGCGGTCAAATGGCAATAAAAATCAATATTGAACTCGAACCCTGGGCGAAACGGGGAGACGGCGATCCGAATGATGATCGTGAACTCAAATACGTAGCAAATAAATCGCATGCGATAGAAATGAGCATTGAATTCTATTAAAAAGGCTGCTGCTAAAGGCGGCCCGAGCCGAGTGAATATATGCAAAGAGTACGAATGGAAATGAAATCGCCTTTGATCCAAGCCGCGGCTGCAGAGTCGCCAGGTAACCGGCAG